GCAGTTTACGCGTACAACTAGAAAAGATTTGCCGCATGCTGCAAAGCGGACACGGGAAATCGGGGAGAAGTTTCGTTACCCGTAAGACAGCTAGTAAAGATTCTCGGCCTGTTCAGCTTCCAGATGTTAGGGTGTTACTGCAGTTCTAAGTTACATGTTTGTTCTGAGCGTAACGCAATATGATCGTAGTGAATGTATTTGATGCAAAGGTTGAGCCAGGGCGTTAACTGGGACGGCAACCGGTTAACCGCAATTGGTAAAAAGGGCTTGTTGTAAAAGTTTGAGAACCATTTTCTCCGCCATAAAATCAACCCTCTTCATGGATGAGATAGTGGTGGAGCCTCAATGAGATGGGTGTGTCAGTCAGGATGATAGAAGAAAAGAAGATAAAATATCGGACGTTTGGAGTAGTTTGCATCAACAAGAATCGCTTTGCAGGGTTCTAAATTGGTACGGAAATTATTCCCTTTCTAGCGGTCTTTTGGAAACCACCATCTATTTTGGGTTCCTTTTTTGAAACTGTATGGGGTACTCTTGAAATTGGCTCTTGCTCATCAGCTATGAACAAAAGATCTATGAAAGAAATCGCGATAGCCTAGATGTCTTGACAAAGTAAACACTTTCGTCAATTGATTTGTCCAGGATAACCAGGCTCTAAACTTTCACTCTGAACGGTTCGAAACTTGCTTTTGAAGCCCCTGGTGAAAATGAATGATCAGTGGAACTAGAATGAGGAAATATCTCAGAACATCATCAGTTCTAACGCTCAACTTTTGGAAAGGCAACCCTTGAAAACTTTGAACTGAAGGTAAATCAGCTGTAAGTTTAACCAGTGGGCAGCAGGTGACTCTCTCTCTCAACCGTTTTCCCCAGTTTCGATCACTCATTTTTCTAGCGGCAGTACTGAATTGAGCAATCACCTGGCAATTTTTAGCCTGAACAAGCTCTCCTTGAAAAGATTTTGAGGGTCATTTGGTTTTTCAGAATTCAAGACTTCTTTATGCAGATTTTACATTGAGAAATGCAAAAATCAAAGTGCTCAAAACCATTAGAAATGTAGGCATAGAACTACTGGGTTATCCAGAAAGTTTCGAACACCCTTGGTTTGCCAACTGTTGCACAAAAGATCAAGGACCTAATCCTATAAATTAGATGTTTTCTGAAAGGTCCTACCCTATACCCTATACTGTCGGGGTCTGTCAACATTCCTCAAGGTTTGTCTATGTGAAAATCGAGGGCTACGCGTACATTTTCAAAACCTAAAGTTCTTCTTCTATCGCAAGGATGAAAACACATCAAAGGCACAGTTCACCATGTTTTTGAGGTACCCGTTTTTATTCAAAAAGCGGAAGTAGGATTGGGTATGGTTCGTCAGTATTGAGGAATAGGTGAGAATCCGTTGATTTCGAGAAAAATATGGCTTCACAAAAGTAAGGAAAATAGAGGTTGGACGAGATGACCATGCCGGAAATAACATGGAAGGGGTATTCGGACGAGATTTCAGTTATTGCAATTGAATAAAGAGCTGACTACATCAAACCAGAACTGTACAGAATGTCCTTCACTGTCGCTATGGGCCATGACAAGTTGTTTGAAGTTCCTACATGGGTCCCTTCGTGGTCGGTACACCCTCTACAATGCTGGTGAAACTCGTCCGAGATACACACGGGTCACTCTTTGAGCCTTTATATCACCCTAACTAGGCCGTTTTCCGACCTAATAGTGCCAAATATGGCATACGCGGTGGCCTCAAATTCATCCTGTGGGGGAATCTCAGATACTGTTTTTATCGTGAAGTGTGCTTTGAAGCCGCGCGAAAGATTTGTGACGTGTTCGTAATACAGGCACGAAAATTCAGTCCGGCACTCGGCTCTTACAGTAATCCGGCACGTGTTAACACGTAAATTTTTACCCGTCACATATACGACGCGTCGAAAAGAGGCTCTGGGCAAGGACACGGGATGGGCGGTGTCTGCTGCCAGGGGGTCACTGCAAGAGCCGAGTGCCGGAGTGAATTTCCGTCTTAGTTTCGTAATCAATGTTGTAAGTGAACGTACAGTGCGTGAGTGGTTTGCGTAATCTAAACAGATTGAATTCACTCGTCGATCAGCAACGCTCAGGGGGCTCTGATCAGCTGAAAATGACATGGTCGAAAATGGGGTCATGTACAACAACGTGGATTGGAAGCCAACCCAAAACTGGCCAATCGTAAGGGTGGTTTCTTCTAACAGGACAACTAG